CGGGTAAGTTGCTCTCATATGAAGGGCACGAGTCTAGCGGGTGGATACAAGTGCAACAAACAACGCAGAACGCGGGTGCGGTGAAAGCGAAGCAGCGACCTGCATCCCCACAAACACGTCACCCGTCATAGCCGCGGAGCCACGAGGGTTCCTGGCTGCCCACGTCCGCCCCCACCATCATCCCCGGCCACACATCCCCCCAGCGCCATCATTCCCGACTGCACAGTCCAGCTAGACGCCATGGAATTTGTTTTCTTGATGTTGTTGCCCTCGCTTCTGGTTTCACGCTTCATTAGGCCTGCAGAATCCTTCAAGCCACCCGCCGTCGCGCTTGGGGTGTGGATCGGCGTGTCATGATGAGAAGCCCCTCTTGGCCGCCATGAAGCGCCTGGCCCTGACCGGCGTCATCTCGCGACATCATTATCTCGAGAAACACCGCGTGCTCTCCATTTCCGTCGACCTGGTAACCACTTTGAACATCGCTGCCCTTGGCGGCGTGCAATACGCCTACACACGTGAGAGCTCATTGGCAGCATAGGCCTGGTTCCGGTCGAGACCTAGCACCTGCCATCCTCTCCCGCCTTGGTTGTGAAGAGGGGTAACGCGCTCGCAGCTTCGAGTACACACTCGAATTAACCTTCAAGGACGCATAAGCTGCATATACGTTCCTGAATCTTCTAGCCCTCTTCATTCCCCCAACATATCCCATTCCGACGTCTTCCGCTCCAGATTGCAGATCGCCCCTTCTCAATCTGGAAGACTAGTAACCGCTGCCTGTCTAACAAAGGTCCCCACTGCGCCAGATCATGGAAGCCTTTCCCTATATCTCTCCACAACTCAAATATTCGGGCCTGACCAAGCAAGAAAGAGAGGGTCTGCCAGCAAAGGAGAAGCCCGTCACCATGAACAAGGCTAATTCTCCACGTACCAAGGCGGCCAGGAAACATGAATCCATGAACAATCGCAGCTATGCGATTCCATTTCCTGGAAGCATGAACTCATCTGAAGATGACACACCACCCTTTCCCGACGCCGAGGTGTCTTCACTGGCGCTCGACAACAAGCCTGGTGCCCAAATACACTACACGTACTACCCTGCATCCAAGCCCCACGGGGGTCACCCAAACCCATTCTCACAAACGCTGATCGTCTTCCTAAACGGACTCATGATGCCAAGAAGTTCGTGGGATCCGGCAATGCACAGTTTCCTAGAGAAACGGATAGCTGGACGTCTACCGTATCCTGCTCTATTGAGTTATGATAGATACGGCCAAGGAGACTCAGATCCCGATCCAGACGACGAGCATCCACCACCATCGCACGGACATGACGCAATATCTGCAGTCAAAGCACTCAAGCAATTCACACTCCAAATATGGAGGGATCACCTTGACATCAATAAACCTACCCACTATCCATGTCTCATCTTCGTCTGCAACAGCATCGGATGCGCACTTGCAAGACTCTTCGCCCAGTGCTACCCAGGGACTGTGTCTGGCTTATTATTTCTAGACAGCATCATGGCCAACTCAGACTACCAAGATATATGGCCGAACCCAGATGCGCCAGACTTCAATCCACACACACTACCCGAAGGCGTAACTGAGGATGAAGTACGCTCGACAAGAGAAAAATATAGAAGAATGTTCCATCCCGATGTCCCCAGTCAAGAGGGCTTATCAAGAAGAAATCTCCCGCAATTATTACCGTACGCGGATGCACCGAAGCTCGAAGGCTACCTGGGCAGAGGTCCGTATCTCACAGTCGTGGGTCATGACTGGGAGACCTTTGCAGAGCAGTCGTGTACGTACATGTCTCTTTCCAAGTCGACTCTTGGACTTCAGAGACTAACTCGGCAAATAGACACGGGCACAATGAAGACTCCAAAGGTGCTCACTATGACCTATGCCAACCCCGCTTGGCGCCGTTACAATGAAGGTCTCTGCCAAATCACAGATGAAGGCAAGGCTATCGGTCCCATAACAGCTGTCCGATGTGGCCACTTTATCCAGCAGGACGACCCCAGATTCGTGAGCGACGAAATGGTGAGTCTGCTGGATCGGGTAGTGAATCGCGTTCAGCAGGTTAGCCAGAGAGACTGACATGTATGATTACCATTCAATAGAGGAGAATGTGGGTTGGGTCGGGTCGAGGTTTAATATTTGAAGGTCATGTGGCATGATATACAAGAAATCTTCAGTATCTAATAATCCAGAACCGCGTAATGATAAGAAAAAAAGGCCGCCCATATGTACAGAGTTTCTTAACAAAAGAAAGCTATAAGCATTCCTATATGCGGTATCCAAAGCTCGGTCGAAACGTGTCTGATCGTTCGTCCTATTGTCGTCGTGATGTGCTGAGTCTCTGTAGACCTACAAATTTCTAACATGTGACCAATGTTCACATGCGAATTTGATTGCTCGTGCACATCGAGTAGTCGTGGTCTAATCGTCGTTATAGCGTAATGAGCCTGAAAGCTTCCGCCACGCCCAGCATCTCTGCTCCAGTGATCATCTATATCCAAGATGACTCATTGAGAGCGATTTGGAGTCGATGATCCAGTATCCAATTCCAATTTCAATTCCCTGACCCATAACGAATCTCAGAAATCATCCATATCTCCCATGAAGTTATCATCACCCGTATCCACCGCCTTGTTGTTCCTCAAACTCCCACTATGCTTGAAATCATCATCAAAGTCGTCATCTTCTGCAGCCTCGTCTTCATCTTTCTCCTCGAGCAACTTCCTCTTTTCTTCTTCACCCAACCCTGCTTTATTCGCAGCCTGCATCCTCACGCTCAATGGCCGATTCTGCATATAGCTCTCCATGTAGCTGGCGCCCAGACTACTGGGGTAGCCATAGCTCCCCGCCTGGTCCACGTCATCTACACCACTACCATGTAATCCGCCGACGTAGGTATCGAAGTTGGTGTCGTCATCTGTGAGGTCGTCGATTTCAAGTTCGGCGCTTGTGGCGGCGGCGGTCGAATAGATGGGATCTGGGCCAGCAGTTTCGGGGATAGAATGCGCGGCTTGCAAGGGGAGTGAGGGGGACGGGTCGAGAAACGTGCGCGTTGCGGTTTGGGCAGAGCCGAAAGGTATGCTGGGGGAGCGTGGGGAGGTGAGTGGTGGAGAGTGTTCGGCGGCAATGGATATGGTATTTGGTGCTTCGGACAGGGGTTTTGCAGCCGAGTTGATAGCGTTGGTCATGGGAAGGGGCAGGCTATGATGTACGGCGTCGCGGTGTTCGAGGTAGACTGGTGGCTCTGGGGTGGTGAGTCGCGGATCTATCATGTCGTCGAGCGATGCCGTTGAGTTTGAGGCGGACGTTGCTTCGCTGCTGGGCGATGTGAGGGGTGGTTCCTCGACGGTATCTGCGGGCAGGACGGTTTGGCCGTCAATGACCAGACTGACTCGCTTCCGCTGCGATCGAGGCTTGTCCTTGTGTCGCAGCGCAGACTTCTTCATGGTGGTGCGCTTGGCCTTTTTGACTGTCTCAGCTGGGTGATTCTCCTTGGCTGGCTCCTCCGGGGCAGCGCATTCCATGTTCGTATTGTCCTTGCTAGACTTCCGGCCGTCTTTGCTCTGCTCAGCATCTCTTGACGCTCCTGGCTGGGCTGATTTGGGCGTGGTGTTTGCGCCGTGCGCGACTTCAGTCTTGGGCTTCTTCTTCTTCTTTTCCGGCGACGTGTCGCGTGCGTCGAGCAGGGGAAGGAAGACAGGCGTGACTAGGCCATAGAGCTCCTTCTCCCGCTTGTGGACTCTGGTGTGCTTCTTCTGCTTGATCCTCTCTTCAGGCTCTGGGTCGAGCGGTGACGCAATGCTTTGAGCATTACTGGTAATGGTTTGTTCTGCAGAGGCGGATTGCTGATCGCATGCCATTGAGCGGTACTGGTCTACAAGCTAGGCCCAAATCAGTCTCGCACAAGAGTCGATGCAGCGGGCGCAGAATCCTACCTCGTCGCCATATCTGCGCAGCTCGTCCTGCTTGGCCTTTATGTAGTCGTTGATGTCGTCCTCGAGCTGCTGCCTCCTCAGCTCAACGCTGCGGGCCAAGGCGTCCAATTGCTCTTTTCTGAAGCCTGGGACCTCGGCCAGGCTCGGGTCGGCGTGAAGAAGCATGGACTGCGCTGGAATGTGAGTCTTCTGATCGGCCGGATGATTCCGCTTTGGGCGAGGGCCGGAGCAGGCCTCTGCGGCCTTCAGGTGGTTATATATGGCGGAAAAAGATACTTGGCGGCACCTGAGCAGCGTCAGTCGTCGCACTCATGGCGGGCGGTTATATGCAGCACAGGCTGCGATGGTCGGATTGCCTGTCGCGTACCTGGTATCGGGGAGTGACGCATTCGGAGGCTGACGGGCGATTGGCCGGCGTCGAGGTCACAGGACGGCTTTGCTGTGGCTTCCGCGCTGCGCTGTACCAGAGTCAATCTCACCGAGCCAACGAGACTGCAACTGCAGCCTTTGCAGCTTCTCACGCGGGCAACGGGCGCGGCAAGCACAATCGCGTGCTCGAGAGGCGTCAGGACGGTGATTGCAAAATCTCTGCCTCCGCTGGTCAGAGGGGCACGCTCAAGGTTGTGATCTGACGGTTTCTATCCGGCTGCTCTTCGGAAACACGCCTTGCCTAACTCGGCCAGGCCGCGGTGGGGGCTTCTCAGGCGTTGCAGAGATCAACGGTTCTAGAAGGGTTCGCGTCGACCCTGCTATCCCACCACCAGCCGCCCTACTGCCACACCACGCGTCCACGCCTGCTTCTGCTGCAACTGCCACCACACCACCATCGCTCCCTCGAACTGCTCGTCATCGGTCAGCCGCCAAGCAGCCCGCGATCCTGCAGTTGACATGGTGTGGGACCCAAACAAGTATATAAGCAGACATAGGCTAATCCAACGTCTGCGTCTTACCCTCGACACGTGCCCACGCTGCTGAGCTTGCTCTCTAGCCTACCACAGCCACCACAGCCCCCACAACAATCTCCCAAGGCCTCCACACTTCGCTACGAAAGCCATGTAGGATGCAATCCTTCTAAGAAGTCGGCATCCACATTAACAAAGCTTCGCCAAAAGTCTATCTCGCACCGGCTGGGCTTCTTCTGGACGGCCCACGTGACACCTTCACTTAATCTCCGACAATCGTCTGCATTCTTACCCATCACCAGGAACAGATCTCGGGCAACTACCACTTGACCTTTCCAGATGTCTTCGTAATGACCCAGCGTCATAGTCATTGATTTGTGTATGCTCCATTCGCTCATTGGCATATCCTTGGGAATGTACTTCCATTCCCAGAATCTGCCTCTGTCGTCCAAGAACCTGTCTCCCTCCCTGGCGTTCATTGGGTAGAAGTGCGGAGCAGACCACATACGCAGCGCTGAAAACCTTGCTGAAGCGTGTTGAGCTCGAAATTGCTTTGCCGTCTTGACCATGTAGTCGCGGTCCAAGGGTGTCGGATCTACCATTTCCCCAATCATTTTCGTTGAATGGTTCTGGTGCCGGCAATCAATGTAGAGGTCGAGCGGGCGGCCGGGTTCGGCCGCGGCTGTTACAACACCACTGACCCGCGGGTGATACGAAAGTCGAATGACGCCCGCTTTGAACAAAGGAATGATTACGGAACGTATCGCTTTGCGCCATTCCATTGGGTAAATGTCCTCTACAAACTCAAGAACCCCTCGATTGTTGTCTTTCAGAAGCTTGTCCCGATCGGCCCAAAGCTTCGCTGGCATATACATGTTGCTGTGATGCGTTCTCCGGTCTGGAATCCGCTTGGCTCTTTCTTCTTGGTCAAATAGTAGGGACGACCTGAATGGTGTGCCATATTCAGAAGCGACAAAGTCTTTTGTTTCATAGAACATGGCGATGGCAGCATAGGCTTGGAAAGCATCGTCAACGTTTCGACGCTCTTTGCGGAAGAGAGGTGCCATCCCCATAAACTTGCAGAGCTCGAACGGACCCGGGTTGATAGCGCTCATGACGAAATCGTCCATGGACGCTACCATAGACTGGTACTCGTTATACCTGCTAAGACCGCCAGGTTCCAAGTCCCCCAGATGACAACACTCCTTCGCGACTAAAATGCAATCGTCAGTTACTGTCAATACCGGAGACGGCTAAGCTACCTCTATCACTTGACCGTTGGGAATGACTTTCAATCATCTCCCCAACATCATACGCCTTGTTAAGATATACTCGCTGACGGCGAAGAGCAGTCCTTAGCGTATACATGAAATCTGCAGGAGGAACCTCGACTCCGGCTGTTACCATGCGTGCATGCTCGGGATCGTGTACTAGAGGTAAGAAATAGTGTGGGTCTTTTGTCTTAGCCACCCACTCATATTGTGGGACCAAAGGACCAGATCTTTGCTTGTGTGCTTGTTGATCTGCCTCGAACAGGTGTTTATGAAAATCTCCTTTCAAAGCTCGACCTGGAGCGCGCCTGGGACTCAAGTCCGTTTGTAATTGTGCATTCTCTTCCATACTGGCGTCGTCTTCGTCTTCGTTTTCGTTCGATTCAGACTCAGATTCAGAATCAGAATCAGGATTAGAATCAGAATCAGAACCCGATGATTCTTCATCAGTACTGAGATCGTAACTGATCTTCCAGGCTCTGAGCTTTCCCATCTGGAATTTCTCTATGGCGGTCTTATAACGGGGAGACCGGTTGGGTATATCGCTTTCCGCGTCTTTCGGAAACAGGATAGCGTCCTCTACTTCATCCGCCTCTGTGAACTCGTATCGCAATTTAACCATGTCATCTACTGCTTTCTGTGTTTCGGGAACGGACTGGCTGCTAGCAATCTCCGCATTCTTGTCGAGGACATCAGCCATAGTCTGTACCTTCTCTCCTGGATGAACGCTGCGAATACGCCCGGTATCATCTTCTTCTGTCACAGTTTGGAAGATGTGGCGAACCCGGGTTAACATGTCTTTGGCTGTCCGAAACTGAAGGGCATGCGCAAACACCTAGTTTCGTTAGCTATCCAAAGATAGACATAGCTGTGTAGGGAATACCTCTTCAATCTTCTGCTGCAGCTCGTGAGCGCCTCCACCGGGTGCCGCATCCCAAATGTAAACATCGTAGTAATCATCAAAATTGACCTGCCATGACCTCCTAGCTTCGACCTTTTCGATAAAGGCAGGTCCGACTTCGCTAGTTATATTGTATTCGCGTTTGCTAGCTCTACCAATCCCAGTCTTCTCACGGCTTAGCCAGAGTTCCTGTTCGGGTGGCTGCACTATGACATAACCAGTTACTGGATCGCGAATCAAAGCACGTAGTTCACCTGACTCCATAGTCAGGTACTGAATGAAGCGACGATTGAAGACATCGTTACGCTTGATGTACTGGGCAATGGGTGTACGAAGTCAGTGTAGGTCTTTCATGCAGTTTTTACAGAGAAACTTACGCCACAAATGATATTGCGGGATTCTTTGATCTCGTGTGATCGTCCTGCAATCCCACGGCCGCCAGTTTGAGATCTTTTTGTTTTAGCCTCGGCATTATCGATTTGAAAGTAAGGTATGAACCCAACAAGCGCGAGTTGTTGACGATGGGCATCCCCAGTGAATCTTGTCCACTTTGGAGCCAGGAAATAGTGATATGTGGTCAGTATGTTGAGCTCGAAGAACTCGTCCCAGTTGCGACACAAGGCGACGGCATCAGCGAGGTTGGAGTCTTTGGCGATGATGGAGAAGTGGAACCAGCCGCTGCGGTTGAGAGCTTGCTCGCTACGGTAGTTGTACATGTCACGACCGCAAACCCTGATCTTGACTCGCTTCTGGGTGAATGTGTTCTCACCAGAAGTGTTACCAAAGTCTACAAGGCCATTTTGTTCCGACTCGGGCGGCCGCTGTTGTGATTTCTTCTTTGTCGCTCTTTCGTGTTTGGTGCGGTATCGGTTCATGAGGACAGAACGTTGGCCACTGTTGTTATGCATTTGTAACATGATATCTTCCGTAACATCGTTATGGAAAGGGTGTTCAGCCAAGTCTGTTGGTACCTCGGGCTCATCAGCGCCATCCCTCTCGCGTATGAAGTCTGCACATGCATCTCGCACATCCTGAAGACTAGGACGCTCCAACTTGAGACAAAGATCTCGTAAATGCTCTCTTGTCACATCGTCCTTTTGTAAAAATTCCTCTATGCTGTTGGTCTGGATCGCAATGGGTAGCAGTGCGCTAGATGCTAAAAGAAGCCTACAGAAGAGGAGATTCTTAATTTCGCCGATCTCGATCAATAGCTGCTCGATCTCATCGTGAGGAAGTATGGGAGTCGTCCTGGGCTCGACAGCGCCCTCGCTGCCATGAATATAGTAGCTCGCTACGCGTTCAAACCGAACAGGCGTCCGTAGTCTATCACGCATCTGCTCCTTAGTCTCCATTTCGATGAAGCTCTTGCCCCCATCGTCTTGTGTGGTTGGATCTTCTAACTTCTTTGTCTCTGCGTTAGCTTTTCTTGCTCTCTTCTTCGCGCTCTTGGAGAGCGCCTTCTCTGCAGGCTTTGAATTCGCTGGGCCGTCAAGCTGGGATGGCTCCGCTTGTACAGGGAGCTCGTCATGCTCTTGCACGTTGAGCATCAGAAAGAATTTGATGAGCTCAATGTAATTATCCTTTTCATAACCGTACACATCTTGGATAGGATCCCATTCCTCTTGCTCTTCCTTTGACATCTGCGCGAGGCTTTTGGCATACATCTTATTCAGGTACTGTTCTTGGCGCTTCTTGTTCTCTTTGGAGTTTCTTTCACGTTGATGACGATCGATCTCTTTTTGGTGTCGTTTGAAGAGTAATGATTCCAGTTTCACTTTCTTCCCCTCACTTTCCGCCTCTTCTGCCTCTTTCTCCTGGCATTGTTTAATCCAACCAAACCACTGCTTCTGCTCGTACATGACTTCCGCAGCACGTTTGCCAAGTTTCTCGAGAGCTTTAACCATGTTGTATCGCTCATTCTGTAGTCGGTCCAGGTACTTTTCGTGGCCATAGTCGTTATCAACTGCAAAGAAATGACTATGATGCAGTTTGCGTGCTCGAATTACGCGATCAAGCAAGTTGTACCTTCGGAATAGATAGTCGTGTAATTCCCGTAGTGTTGCTTCGCTGTCGACATCGTTGAAGTCTTGAACAACGATAGAAGCTTTCTTTCCAGCCAAGTACACTGGCAACTCCTGTATATCGAGGACGGCGTTTCGCCCTTTGTAACCTAGGTACAGAGCTGCAAATGTGAGCATTAACAGGCGAAGAGCGAAGCTTGCTTACCATGGCACTGTCGAGAGTGGAATGCACAGAGTCTGCCATCCAATGAAGTCGCTTCTCTGTCACAGACTGTTTGTGCACTCAAGTCTGATAGCAGCCGTGCACGACATATTGAAGCCATAGCACTGACGGAAAGTACACCGATCCAGCCCCTTACCTAATACACATGATTTTCTCACAAACGTCGTTGTTGACTCCGAGCAAATACTCCTTGTTCAATTCGACAGGCAAAAACAAGGTCCGTAGCGCTTCGAGTGACGAAAGGCTGGCGGTCTGAAGATGAGCCAGATGCCAATCGAGGGGAGCAAAGCGGGTATGCGCTAAGATCATGACGCTAACCGCATATAGAAATAACCTTGGAAGAGTGGTAATCCTCTCACGATCGCTCAAACATGACTTTGTATGGTATACGTAACAGAAAACGACGTCTGTTTAGTTGTTGTTCACATGGTTGTTCTAGCCTTCTCCATAGTTTGTGATTTGCGATTACATATAATCGTCTTGTTCAATTTACTAGTATACCTAGGTACATTAGACTGAAGGTTTCTTGGTGTATCCCAGGTTGAGACATTAGCGAGCTGGGGTGACCGGAAATTCGTTTTGTTGGCGGTAATGTCGTCTGCAATCGACAAGCACGTGGTAGATACGTCAAGAAGAAGAACTTCAAGTTTAATAGATAGAGCTTTTTGGGTTCGAGCGAGAAATGCTGACGCATAGGATGGACTTGGTGTACACTGGTAGAAAGAAATTATGCATTCCTATTCCTTTGCTCAGCTACCGTACTTCCTTCCGGCGTTGTGTAAGCCGTCGATCTTTCTACAAGGCATATGAACTGCCTCCTCTTCCTATCATATATAGCTACCTGACTAGCAACTCTTGAGATGGTAACGGCTAACCTGTATGAAGGTGGCTGTGGAGGTCGCGCTGGAATGGTTCTAAGCGGACATATACTATTCAACATTGAGAGCCTTATGAGTGGTGCCGTGTTCCGTCGTAGTGTGCCCGATTGCCTCTACAACATAGGCATGTATGAGGACTAGCGGATATGGCCGCGGGGGAGCGAAGCAAAGAGATTTCCAGCTTCCATCACCGGCCATTGTATATGTTGCTGAACACCTCCTTGATATCTCGATACCAAATGCTGCCTACTAGTCTCAATCGCCGCCTTCCTCTTCCTTTGCCTTCTCTTCCGCTTCTGCCTTCTTCTTGTCCTCCCATTTCTGCTTCTTCTCCAACAACTTCTGGAGATTCTTCGCGCCATTAAACACACCATATGTCTTTGCACTACACGCCGCACATGTAGGATCCTTCCGATACCTTTTTAGGGCGCAAGCCTCGCAGAAGTAGTGTCCGCATTTTGTGATAATGGGATTCTTGTATGGCTTCTTGCAGATGATACAGGCGAACGGTATCTTCTCCAACAGCGCGAGATCAACCCCATCCTCATCCTTTTCCTTCTCGTCCCTGTTCGCAGAAGCGACAACTGTACCCCCTGGCTTCTTGCCCTTGGTCGACATCTCCCATTCGCGGTCCAGCTTCCAACCTGCCGCATAGTCTTCACGCGCGTGCAAGAACTTGCAGTTGTCGCCAAAACCACAGAACCCTGTCTGCTTGTAGTCCTTACACACATCCGGCGTGTAATCTGTGACGGTAATTGTTCGTATGTTTGTCGATGCTTTCATAGGCCCTACTTGGCGACTGGGCGCGTCGGGGTTCTTTTCAATGAAGGTCTGAGGCTTCGTTCGCGTGCTGCCGAGCAGGTTTTTGGAGCTGAGAGCGTCGTCGGCGTTCTCGTCGTACCAGTTTGATTGCTTGGTCGCGTCATTGCTTGCTTCTATTACGGCCGAGCGATTCGCTGCGTACTGTGTTGTGCCCTCGACGGCTGTGGTCGCCTTTTGGTCTGCGGTGGAAGCCTTGAGCGCATTACCGTTAGTCTTCCGTCGCTTGACTACGTGACCATCTTCGCCCTCTGCGTCTGACCCTGACGAGAAATCCGAATCGGATTGAGGCGGTGGCGGAGCGACTTTTCGGGGCGCAGCTTTGGCACCCCGCTTCTTGAACTTGACGACGGGCGCGTCCATGGTCGGATATGCGTGAATGAGTGTGAGGTGAGGTGCAGATCAGGTAGTGTTGTAGGAGTGAGGCGCAGAAAGTTCGAGCCAAGCTGTGGCTGAGGAATCCAGTTTCACGTGATGCAATCCGGGGTAGTGGCGCAGGGCTTCGGAGGTCTCGGACTGTCTACAGTAGGTAGATAGCGGATAGGGACAGACTGGCAAGCTAAACCCTGCAATCAAACCTACGTCGACGTAAAACGTCTGTGACCGGTACTTGAGCTTTTTGTGGAGGTTGTGTTCGGGACTTGATGGCAGATCCTTTAGGTACGATCTTATACCAGTTCACATGCAGGCTGCGGCATTCCTGCACCTGTGGATCTTGGACTAGCGAGCATAACGATGCATGCAGAAAGACGCCTGCAAACATGCGATAGAAACAGTGATATTTACAGGTGGGAGCATAGTTGGCTTCTATGTGTTGTTGTACATGGTGTGACCCTACCTAATAGCAGATAACCTTGCAAACACACTAAGCACGTTCTTCCAACGAAATGTTCTTTTCATGCGTTTCGCGGTGTTTGCTATGGATGTTACGTCTCACTGTGTTTACCAGGAACATGGCGTCACCCCTTTCCGCGCAGCCATGTTGACATGGCACATGGTGGTCGTGGGGTAATGCAATGCGCGTCTTTGTTGCGGTGATCCAATCGCGCATACAAACAGCCCCCCTCGGCCTAGCAGAGCTGCAGTAGTGAGGGGGCCCGCTGCACTACCACGTCGTCTGCATAGTCTAGCGATTAGACGTGCAGCAAGTGCCGGCGCGAACCAATGGAGGGGAGCGAGGGGCATCTGTAGCTTTGTTGATGTTGTGGATGCGTGATGGGTGTGCGCGCTGGGTCGATGGCGAAAGCGTGAAAGCGTCAAAAGCCGCGCACGGTGCGCTTCATTTCGCTCTTCTGCACAACATCATCCGCGCTGCTGTCATCCCTCCTCTGTCGCCTCTGTAGCCCCTCCAGCCCGTTCGGCATTCCCTTCTTTTTCCTTCTTCGCCATCCCGAGGCTCAGCCTGGTGATGCGCCTTTGCTTCTTTTCCCTAGTGTGACGGAAACGCGACCGAGTGCCAGCAGCCGCTGCCGTGTCCCCAGTCGCTTTCCCACGCGTCCTTCTCATCCAAACCCTTATTCCATTCCGCCCACCGCCCGACGGAGTGTACCCTTTACTCGCTCCTGTCCCTAATACTCCCCCGACACGCCGCCACCACCTGCCGCTCTAATCCGCGCACCTTTCCCGCTCCTTAATCCTGCCTTTCGCCAACTCCGCCCATCTCCTACCGCCATTTCCGAGGCACAGCGACGTGCAAGTGGGGAATCTCGTCCAGGAGATGACACAATAAGAAACGACCCTAGGGACTACTAATGGCTACAGCAAATCCTCCACCGGGCGCGCTCTCGGTGGAGCACCACAATGGCTCCGACCCCTTCCTCGCGGCGCCGCACGACGCCCACCGGCAGCGATACTCTGCCTTCGACAACTCCCAGTTCTCTCTCTATCTTAATGGATCGCCCCAGCAGGCCAAACGCGCCCTCGAGGCACACTTGGCAGAGACAACGCGCAGACTACAGGAGACGTCGCATCTGGGCAGCGCGCTTGTCCAGCAGAGGAAGGAGCTAGAGGACAAACTGAAGGAGGTTGATCAGCAACAACAAGACAGTGATATCGGCCCAGAGCTGCGCCAGAGGCTGGCTGAGCTAGAGAAGGAGTTCAACGAGGTTGGTCGGGAAACGGCTCGCGCCTTTCTCCCCAAGTCTCGCGTCCCCAGTGGCGAGACTGATCCCACTGGCGGCTCCATCTACTCTAGCGAAGCGATCCAGTCACCGACCAAAGTGAGCGTTCCTTCGCGAAAGCAGAGGAACCAACAGCCTAGTCGCATCAATGACATCGCGCTGGCTACAGAAATCTCTACGTCTTTGCTTTCTCAGTTGAAGGACCTCCAGGCCGTTCTCCTTGAGAAGGATGAAGCCCTCAAGGCGGCTGATCTGGATCGATCGCAGCTCGAAATTGAGGTCGAAGGCTTGTCGCAACGTTTACGGACACTCGACGAAAGCGAATCGCGGCTCAAAGATGTCAACTGGAACCTTGAGACACAGGTCCGTGAGTCGGAGACACAATTCAAGTCAGCGGCAGACAAGGAGCGAAGTCTCAACCATGCTCTGGACCTAGCACGTACTGAGAGATCAACCTTGGAGAAGGAGTTGGAAGATCTGAAACAGATGTACACGAAACTCAATGACGATCACATCAACAAAACCAAGCAGCATGAGACTGAGCTTTCTAGTTTGCGGCGAGTTGCAGCCATGACAGAGACGGAGAAAGGTGCAATGCAACGCAAGGTCGAAGAGCTCACGTCCAAGAACCAGGAGCTAGCTCAAGCTATTGCTTACCGCGCAAGATCAGAACATCGTGGTCGATCTGAGGGGTCGTCTGACGATGATCGTGGTGTGAGATTCCAATCTCGTACCCCAGAACATTCACCTGAACCTTCTCCAAGCAAGGCCACACCACGCCATGGTATGCTCGAATCGGAAACACTCAAACACTCGCTCCAGCACGCCCACCGTATGATCCAGCAACTCAAGAACAACATCCACCGTGAAAAGACCGAAAAGATCGAGCTGAAACGTATGCTTCAGGATGCCCGTGATGAGGTTGACGCTCAGCGCGCTCTGGCTGGACCTGGTAGTGCAACCAGGCGACGGAAGAGTGACAAAGCTGCCTCCATGAAACCACCTCCGCGAGCTGATCGTCTTGGAGCATTGCGTAACGTCTCACAAGAGATTGTGGAAGACGACGAATGGGAAGAACAAGACATTGTACCTGAGACCCCAAGTAGGCCACCACAACACTTGAACTCTGTACCAGGG